CAATAAACCAATAGAATCAGATGCTAACGTGTGCTGTAGAGAAATAACTGGGTGGAAGATGATTGAAGGAGTAGGTGGTGGCAGGGCTATTCACTTAAATAAACTGGTCAAAGCAGACCTCTCTAATAAAAATTCTATTCCAGCTGCAACCTGAAGGAGATGAGAGGGAGAAAACCATACAAATATGTGAAAAAAAATTAGTGCAGGCAGAGGGACCTTAAATGTAAAGACATAGTAGAACCAACCAGTACGTTGAAGGAGAGCAAGGTAACCATCATGGGGGGGTGGGACGAGAGAGCAAAGGAGAGGGATATTCATAATGCTATGCTTCCTGAAGTATGAACAGTTGAGTTCTGCCACAATGGACTGTATCCCTTGGAACTGCCTGACCAATGAACCTAAAAGGATAGAGAAAAACAACAACAACAACAAAACAAAAAGAAAAACATTCTTAACACTGAAAATATGTTGTCTTACAGAAAAATTTGACACTGCTGGTAGAATTGGAAGATAACGAACCTTTAAAAGCTGGGAAAGGCAAGGATATAGACTTTCACACAGGCACCTTGTCCTGCAGAGAACCTGAGCTTCTCCTAATGAGTCCCATGTTGGACCTTCCTTTCTTAACTATGCTGGACAAGAAGAAATGTCCCTACAAGCCAAACGGACCAGTCAGTCCTAGCTAGGTTATGCTGTGACGACAAACAGCCTTCAATTATCAGTGATTCAACAAGCAAAGGCTTTTCTCCGTCTTGGCTTTCTTTGTTAGTTGTCAGGGGTCTCTGTTCTCTCAATGACGTGAATTGCAGGAGGCTCATCTCTACCCAGCTTCTGCAGAATCCACCACGATCCACAGTGGCCCTTGACCTGGAAGCCATACACACTACACTATATTTAAAGATGGTGCCTTAAGCATTTTGTCAAATTGATTTACAAAATTAGAGGTGTGTTATTCTCACTCAGTTTTTAAACTGTTTAACATCATGACCTAATTTTGCTTTTATATGCCATTACTAAGTAAAATTATAGCTTTTAATTAGCAGTGTCTCCTAAGGTCAGTTTTTGAGAACAACTCATAGCCACCTTCTCCGTGAATGCCAGCATTTCAATTCATTTAAATTCATCCTTCATCATTTTTCTGTGATGCCATAAGGTAAGTTTGTAGGAAAACATACTGTCTGGATTTCAATCTTAACATGCCCTAGGCTGCAACATCTTGGTCTGTAAAGCAGAGATAATAGATAAAGAAATACATAAAGTTCTTAGCTAATAATAGTAGCAGGAGGCCGGGCGGTGGTGGCACATGCCTTTAATCCCAGCACTTAGGAGGCAGAAGCAGGTGGATCTCTGTGAGTTCGAGGCCAGCCTGGGCTACAGAGTGAGTTCCAGGAAAGGCTCCAAAAGCTAAATAGAGAAACCCTGTCTCAAAAAAACAAAATACTAATAATAATAACAATAATAACAGCAGGAAGATGGGAGTCTGGGTCCATAAGGGCTTCAACAAGTCCCCTATTCCCAGTCAATATGCAACGGTCATGTAACATGGCCATAAAAATGATGTCTGTTGCTTAAAGTCATTGAGATTTTTAAAAAAATATTCTTATTCTTTGAGAATTTCATATAATATATTTTGATCGTATCCACTCTTCTTCACCTATTCCTCCTATATCTACCCCACTTCCTTACCTACCCAACTTTTTGTTCTCTTTTTTTTACTCCATCAAGTCCCATTTCTCCTGTCCATATACACTTCAATGCAGGGCTCTCTGAGAGAATGTGGTTATTTAACTGCCCGTGGCACAAGTAGATCTTGACTGAAATAGAAATTGGCACAGGAAGTAGGGATTACTTTCCATGGTTGTCTCTGTATACACACACTTTATTTTATTTTACAATTGTATTTTACGTGTATGGGCGTTTGCCTGCATGTATGTCTATGTACCACATGCATGCCTGGTACCCTCAAAGGCCAGAAGAGAGCATTGGATCTCCCAGAACTGGAACTACAGACAGTTGTGAGTCACCATGGGTGGTGATGGGAATCAAACCCAGGGTCTATGAAAGAGCAGTCAGTGCTCTTAACCACTGACCCATCTCTTCAGCCCCACACCCATATCCTTTTAAAAGAGATTTTAGAATTTATGTGTATGTATGTGCCTGCATGAGTTCATGTGTACCACTGGCTTGCTGGGTCCTCGGAGGTCAGAGGGCATCAGACTTGCTGGAACTGGAGTTATAGGTTGTAAGCCATCTGCTGTTGTGCTGGGAACTGAAACCAGGTCCTCTGCTAGAGCAATAGGCATCTTAACCACTGAACTACCTCTTCATCCCCCATATGGACCATTTTCTCCCTCAACTTTTGCCAATACTCCGCCTCCTCTATTATGCATTTAGCTATATAGTATCACAGTTAATAACTTTGTATTCCATTTTAACCATAGTTAGGTCTTGTATAATTTGCCTATTAATAGAAAAAACAGAAAATCAGCAAGTGTTCACATTATTATGACTTTTTTGCTTTGAGCTGTGTGTTGCAACCATTATAGATCTAAAGCTCTAATGTACTAAGTGCATTACTAAGGGAATATTTCTTCTATTGATGGAAAGGTATACATCTACATATCCAATGTATTAAATATACTACTTACAGGGAATGTTTCTATTGCTGGAAAGAAACACAAAGTTACATTGCAGACAGATCATGTGAATACAGAGATAAATGGGGATGGGATAAACTGTAATTAATCTAATCATTATTCACTTCTTTAAAAGCTGATAAGATGATCTCTTTATATTCCACTTTTCTCTCTAGTTAATGATGATACCATCTACTTGTCTCACTTTTTCTTTTTATTCCCATCTCCTACCTTTTGATATATCATAGAGGGTTTTATAAATGCATCTCATATGTACCAAATAGACAGTAAAGTTTGCTGATTATTTTTTATAAAGGAAAAACATACTCATGTTCTAAAAGGCTTTAAAGCTAACTTCCTTTGTAATTTGTTCATGGTTAAGCTTGCTGTTGCCTTTGATCTCAGAAAATCCACAGGTACACCAGCGGAATAGAGTAATGCATGCAGCAGGTAGTTGACAACACAGATGTTGGAGTGTGATGTTTTAGCCATGGCTGATGCAGAGCTCACCACTGAAAAGCAGGAGGATCAGCTAGCTCTGCTGACCTTTACACACCAGCTGTGGATTAACTTCCATGTCAACGGAGTACCATGGTGGTTTTCAGCCAACAGAGATACAATCCACAAACAATGAGAGATGTTTAGATAGTATTTTTTTTCTTATCAACCAACACAAGCTGAAATTTGGTCTACAATCTTTGGGAAAGATGGGTGATTTACTCTTGTACTTTGGCTTGTCCCCATATGACTCTAAAGAGTGATGGTTAGCTTTTTTGCTAGCAATTGAAGTTACTCAAGGGGGAATTGCCTAACTGAAAGGAGGAAGTGATGCTTAGCAGTCAAGTGATCTAACCGAATGGAAAAAACCTGGTGATTATTTAATATCCGAATGTAATGTTTTCAACTTGATGTTTTAATATAAATCAGGTTTCCTGACATGTGCAATCTTCTCTGAAGGATCAAGTTTCAGAATATAATGTTTAGGGCTTTTCCCAAAGATTAGACAAGCACAACTATTTGTTGTTAATTCTCAGGGTAAAATCCCCCAAATTAACTCCCAATGGCTTTTTCTCATGCTTCCCTTTAGCCACAGAACAGTTACATGGGGATTGAGGGTTTTTTTTTGTACAATTTGAAATATTATATTTTCTTGGTTATTGATAATTTATTTGCAGTAATTCTTAGCTGGACCATTCAGTTTGTGTAGACTCTTCAGTCCTCATTCAGCAACAGAATACACAAAGGACTACAACAATCTCAAGCCATGCTTAACTTGTTGACCATTTTTCCACATTTCAGAAATTACCAGTGGTCAGACTGCCCAACCACTGTCAGCATTTTTTGTTCTGCAGAACAGCTCCTAAAGTTGAGAAATCCTGTCATTTTATAATTTTTCTTCTTCCTCATAAACATAAACACACACACACACACACACACACACACACACACACACACAGACACACCCCTATGGATGGCCCTTCTCTCAAAGACACAAAATAAAATAAAATAAAAATATATATAAAGTAAATTTAAATTGAGTCACTAGAACCTTCCTTTCTTCAAGAAAAGTGACTGTTTCTTGGTAGAGGATCTGGATACATAGACCAAACTGGCCTTGAATTCATAATTCTGATTCAGCATCCTGAGTGCTGGAATTACATGTGCGCATCAGAACACCTGGCTCTTCACTTCTTTTTAAAATACACTTTTATATATTTTAAATAAAATGACATCACCTCTATGTCACATCCCTTTCCTCCCTCTGGCATCCTACTTATTTTAATTTAAAAGTGAAAATCAACATGGACTCACTTTTTCATTGACATACCAAGGCGTTTGGTCTTTACTGCCGCCATGACCCAACCATTCTCAGTGCATGTTTGGGTTCCATGAACCTTGTCTAATCTGCTATTGGGAAGAACATATACCCTATTGCTAGAGAATGTGGATTTATCGCTGACATACTTCTCCATTAACTGTAGGATCCTAGTTTATCAATTATCTTTCCTTGGATAGTTTTGTTATCAACAAGATCGAGATTAAAATGGCTACATTGTGATGTTGCTGAGGGAGTACCTGAGGTACATGTAAAAGGTTTAGCATAGTAGTAGGTGCTCAATAAATGTTTGCTATTTCTATTATTATCGTTTGCCTTAGGTGATGTTCTTCCCATCCATGATGACATCAGCTGACTCACCCCAAAACACATGCATCACAAATCACAGCTCGATGCATTACCTAGACAGTGAGGGCTGTAACTGATGGACTCATTGGAACAACCCTCTTGGAAGGAGACAAGCTATCTGCTAGCTTGATTCACCCTTTAATAACAAGTTCAATAACACAGACACAGGGAAAGCATACTGATTTCAACATTGAAGCAAGTTTTAATAACTATTTCTACAAGTTATCCCCAGATCGTCTTCTCCCCCAAACTATTCATATACAATAGCTGTAAGTATTCAAATTCCATAAACATGATATTGCAAAAGCAAGAAAATCTAAGAAAAGCATGTGTAGCCTTATTTTCTCATCTGACATTTGTTACTAAAGACAGATCTCGATATCTGTTACTAAATTCTAAGAAATAAATGCTGAAAGAGCTATGCTGGCAGCTGGCAGCTGGGAGCTGGGAGCTGGGGGGCTGGGGAGGAAAGAGAAGGAAGTTCTCAACCAAGAAGCACATTGCACTCGTTTTCCATCTCATAGCCAGAATAACACAGGGGAGATCTCTATTTTGGGAACTATGTTGGTATCTATAGAAAACTGGAGAAACATTCTTGGAGCAACAGAGAGACATTACTTAATACCACTTTGTTAGAAACATTTGTTCAAATTCAATATAACTGAGGTCTCCCTCTAGCTCAAACTTTGCTACAAATAATTAAAACTATGCACACAGTATCTTACTCATGTTAATTATACAAAAAAAATGTATGTTGAATGAATGGACTAATGCCTAGGGTGCAATATGAAGAGGCTGGACCTTTCTCCAGGGAAAACTTTTCTTGTGGTACCATGTGTGCATCTAGGAAGGCCTTATTTGCCAGAACCAACCTTCAGTGCTCTAAGGATCTTGGCAGAATAAGGGCATAGAAGTAATGTAAGGGACATCTGAGCTCTCATTTCATCTAGTCCCATCAAACTGCCCACATAACATCAAAATTTGTGACGAGAATTGAAAAGATTCAACACTAGATGAAGTCAAAACAAGATGAGTCTGCATGTCTCCTTCAATTCCATGCAATACACACAAACCAGAACTGGAGGGTGGAACATGACCACTGTGTGACCCTTCCCCTGCCTTTGCCCTTTTGAGTGCTGTATTTTATTTTCTCTTCTGTTGTTTCAACACTTTCCCTTCTCTGCAACAGGGCCTCTGCCCTTCCCTCTGTTCTTTCTTCCTCATTACCAAAGGTTAATAGTTAGAAATATTTGTATCCCCGGTGATGGGGCAATCATAGCTGTTTTGAGTTCCCAGCAATGGGAATAGTTTTTGTGACTTTTTTAAAGAACCTGTGACTATTCTAGCAGTGATTTAGACTCTGTCTTGCACTGCTGACTACCCATAAAATATTGGGTGTGATTACACTATTTGGGGATTACAATTTCTAAGATTTATATTTCAGAAAGATGGTAGTGCCGGTAATGGTGGTGAGGAAAATGCTGTAGTTAAAAACAAGCTATTGTCTATACACATAAGATCTATTTGTGTGGGCATTTAAGCAAAAAGAATATATGGACCCTAAGCAGATATGTATTATCAGATACATATTTGCTAGAATTCAGTTCAAAATTCACAAGGGTTGGCTAGAGCAGACCATTTCTGGCAGTAAATAGATGTTTTCTCCCCTTTTATGGACTAGGACTAGCAGTGTTAGCCAGCATCATCATAGGGGTTTAGGTCTCTGAAATCATCCCTCCTGCTTCCAAATAACAATGGGATGAACACACTAGGCCAGGCTATCCCTATTGGTTCATATCCTGCTCTCCATCCCCAGGGCAATCAGGATCCTCTGGTCTGTAAAAGAAGCAGAAGAGTAATTTTGTCTCTGGCCTTCAACTAATTCCACTGTGACACTGCATAGTTCTAAATGTTTGCATTCATTTGTTTATTCATTCAGTAAACTGATCTTGAACACCCACTCTGCCAAGCACCGTGCTCAATGCAGAGTGCTACCCTAACTCTAATCAGTCTAATGTTCCTTTGTAGGAATAATCTCTGACCCCCTTAGGCTGTTCTGCTGATAAACTGGAATACACTTCCATGCCAATACTGTCACTAGTAAGTATTAAGTCACTGTCAGCATCATTATCTCCTCCATAAAAAAAAGTGTCCTTTTACAAAATGCTAATGTTAAAGATGAAACAAAACTGAAGAATGATGAGCTACTCTTTGATTGCTCTCTTGTTAGGGGAGGGTATTAAAAACTGATTCTTGAGACAGCCTGGTATTAAATAGAAGATTACCACACTTGGAGTAAGATGGCATAGATCTGGCTTCAGCTTCTGAATCTGAAGGACGGTGCTGAAATTATTGGAGCTCCCATTGTTTATCCTAAAATGAGTCCCAGACAATTCTTGCCTTCCCCTCTTCTGGCATGGCAGAGGGCAATGAAATAAAGCAACATAACAATGTTTGTAAAAGTGCCATGAAAGCCATGAAGCTCCATGCAAATGTGACCTACCACTAGCAAGCAATCTTCAGAATTCTTTTTAGAGGGCTATGCCATTATAGTTTCCTCCTCCTTTCTTCAGAGGATGGAACGCATACAGTCAACCAGCATACCGGGGCATTCGGCAGCATACACTTGTTTCTTCATGACAGAGTGAGTTAGAAGTTTTCCTTGTTGAAAATAAAATGGACTCCACGAGGGCCGGACTCAGAGTTGGAGATGCTCTGTTTGTTGAGGGTGTTAGCCAAGGCTTCAGGGCCACAAAGGAAAACTCCTATTCTGGTGCTTTAGAGAAAGAAAAGAAAGTTTCAGGCTTTGGCGTGAGTTGGACAACGAAGTAGGTGGGCACATTTCCTATTAAGTAGAGCCCCTTCCATTCTTATTTTTTCCACAGATGACACAAATGTTCATATTACTCACAAGGATGGGGCTTAATCTGATTGTAGGGACAGCTGGAAAACCCAAAAGTGGTTGATACCCCCAGAAAATAAAATCCAAGCAGAATTTTCGGAAATTTCTACCACAAGGATATCATGGCTAATATGTGAAGCTACAGTGTACTTTCCTGTAAGACTCTAGCCACCCCTCCAAATCTTTCTAGTGTTTTAAAATCAATAGCAAACCCTCATTGGGTACCCCAGCTCTGACAGCAGATTTATCCCTTGAAGTCTTATAGTTGAAATCCTTGCTTTTCAAAATGTGTTCCTATGCCATTTTAAAAAGCATCATGTTTTTAATTACGCAGGTTCCTGGGCCCCACTTCACACCTAATAAATCAGAGTCTGTATGTAAAAACATTCCAAGGTAATTTATGTGCCCATCCAAGTGTAAGAAACAATGTGGACCATAAAACAGGTGTATCAAACCTGGGGCCAATGGGCCACATGCATATCAGAATAGCTATGCCTGCAGCCCAACACATTCGTAGATCACAGCATCATGTTTCAATGGCAAGTCAAAGTGTTTGCCACATCTATTCAAACAGATATATTTATGGTAAGCTTGTGAGTTTTCCATGTGTTCTAGGAGACAGGGGAATTTTTTCAAGGTTTCATGATAGATGAACTGTAGTGACAAAAGAAAGAAACTTGTGTCATCTGTCAACTGATGATTTGACTCAGACACTTGAACTGAAAGTGAAGGGATAATATTCTTAATAACAAGCATAAGCTGTACTCACTACTTAAACACATACACCAGCGAAATGTGGGCAACTAAAATAAAGAAATGCTATGGTGCAGCTTGGGTTAGGATGTTGAGAGAATTACTCTCCATGTAATTTTGCTGTGATTTAAAGATTGTTTCTTAAATTCGGAGACATGAGACATCTGTTGGAGAAGAACTCAACCCCATTACAGTATTATGGAAATGTTAATGCTAACTTTTAAACTATAAAGTACAGTCAGTGCTCAGGAGCTGCTGCCCCTGGCAGACCACAAGCTTCAAGAACACTTTAGTGGAGGACTCCTTACTTAGGGTGTTGACTTGCAATTGTCTTGAATTCATTATCCCAGTTGGGCCGTCCATACAGAGTCTTTTGTTTTAGGCCTGTGATCACATCTTTCTCCTCATCGTGGTGTACAGCAAAGTGATTGGCCTGTAACAAAGGATATACATTCAGAAAAAAGAAGCATGGTATAACAGACATTTCACAAATCAAGCTCTTACCACTCATCGTACACACACACACACACACACACACACACACACACACACACACATACACACACACACACACACACACACACACACACACACACATTGGTTAGGATGAGAAGGGGTGCTATTCAGGAAGAAAGGGAATGAAGGTGTCCTCTATACCCATCTGTTATCCAGACACTATACTAGACATATGGATAGCAATAAGTCAGTTCTTTATGAGACAACGGCATAGTCAATGGTCAGTAACTCCCTTTACAGAAGGTGCCTTTGTAAAAGCTCAGGTGAAAGGGAGGCATTATTTGAAGCAAGACTCCCCCTGCATTAAAGAGGAAAATCCTCTTTTGCAATCCAAAAAGGCCAACCTAAATTTGAAGGTAAAAGAGAAAAGGAAATAGAACACAACGATGAGATAACATAGAATGAGATGAGGTCTTTATACGTTACAGAAGCCCTGCCCCTAGAGGCAGCTGCCTACCGACCTTCACCGCTGGCCCAGTTAGTGCGGGCGGGGAGTAGAAAATTTGAAAGATGAATTTCAAACACTATGACAGGAAATCTCCCAGCTGCTCATAACTCATTTCCAAGTGAGTTCCATTGTTGGATGAAGAGAAATCAGCCCCAGCTTATCAGTAAGTGATCTAGACCTGCAGCTGCCTGTGACTCATGGCAGGGTTCAAGATGAACCAACGGCCGCGACTTTGAACGGCCATGGAGCCGGAGGGAAACTGATGATGGTAACACGATTATCTCTTCTTTCCTGGTGCTAAGCTAACAAGGCTGAAAGGAAAACTGAAGACGATAAATACGGTTAGCTGTTACTCCTTCCTGTCTCAGACACATCCTGGCCTCAAGGTCACATAGAGCAAGTTTTGGCTGACTGTAAGGCTGAACCAAATAATACTAAAGTTAACTATTTCCTCCTTGGTTGACTCCACAGTTCTGCTTTTGCCCTTAAGGATCATATTGCCCTCTAAGAAAAACAAATTCATACTACAGGGAACCTACCCTCGATTCTGTTCTTGTTGCTGTCACAAAGTATGCTAAAATCTACTTAGGAGAGAAAGGGTTTATTTGGCTCACAACTCCAGATTCCAGTCCACCATTGTGGAGAAGGCAAGGTGGAAGGAACTGGAAACAGCTAGTCATATCTACAGTCAAGAGCAGAAAGCAATAAATGCTCCCATGCCGCTCACTTTCTGCTTCTACCTCGCTTTCTCCTGTCCTATGTAGTTCAGGGCCGGCCCCCCTGCCCAGGGAATGGAATCACTTACAATGGCTGCATCTTCCCATACCAATTAGCAACTGACACAATCTCCCACAGATATGCCTCTAGGCCAATTTGATCGAAATATTTACTCAATTGATATTACCTTCCCAGATTGATATTTAAAGCTAACTATTATAGGCCTTAATGAGGCTTCACGCAGCGTTTCGTAACTTTGTCAATTACAAAATGCTTATATTGCTAAATGTTCCTTGTGGGAGGCTATATTGCATTCAGTTGGAAACAACTGACTCATTTTATTTAAGTAGTTTCCAAATGTTTTTCATCACACATATTCATATGAATATATAATATATTCAAATTTCTTCATTTTATATATATATGTTGATTTATTTATTATTAAAAAGCACAAACTGCTGGGAGTTGCTGAGTGCAGGCTCTGGAACAGTCAGACTGCCATTTACTTGTTGATGCCTTTATGCAAATAACCTACTCAGTTCTAGGCTTTTGATTCTAATTAGACAATAAATTTGACAAATAAAATTAGGTAGTCCATATAAACACTAAAACCAATGCCTGGGGGCCAGGCGGTAGTGGCACACACCTTTAAACTCAGGAGGCAGAGCCAGGAGGAGTTCTGTGAGTTCAAGGCCAGCCTGGTCTACAGAGCAAGATCCAGGAAAGGCACCAAAACTACACAGAGAAACCCTGTCTCAAAATAAAAATAAAAATAAATAAACAACAACAACAAATGCCTGGAACAGAATTCGGACTCGGCAAAGGATTTGTTGTAGGACCCCAAATCCATGAATGCTCAAGTCTCTTACATACTTTAAATCTTTAGATTACTTATGACACTTCAGACAATGTAAATCCTATGTAACTAGTTGTTATACTGTATTGTTTAGGGAGCAATTACAAGAAAAAGACTGCATATGTTCAGTATGGTTCCTTTTCTCCCAAATATTTTGATTAGGTTGATGGAATATATAGAGCAAAACCTCAAGTATATGGTGAGCTGACTGCATGTAAATTTATTGAATATATCAGAAAACATGCATAACATATAAATTAAGGAATATGTACAAGAGAGAAGCATAGATTTTTCTCCCCATCACCATTTGATGGCATTTATCCATCTGCTTTGAGATTCCTGCTCCTTGGTGGGAACAGTGCTCTAATATCAACACAGGCTCCTTAGGAACAGAGTCTCAATAGTCTAAATATCTGATGGTGATACTGTGTGAGTGTGAGCAAGCTGGGTCACTTGATTCCATCAGCTGTCCTTGAGGAAAAAAAGCCATGCACGGAACCTATCAATATGTAAAAGGAAGCCAGCGAGCTCTGGACACCAAGAAGGACCCGAGAACTGGATTCTTGTCCTCACCTGAGACTCATCCCAGCCAGTAAGGTAGATGTTGTAGCTGAGGAAGTCGGCATTGTTCCTTTCCTGCATCTGGGTCTCCAGCAGCTGCAGCAGGTCTGCAAACCACTCAAAGGCATGTGTGTCCCTGCACAGCCAGTAGAAGTAGATCTGAAGAAGGAGGGGCCACAAATCAGATCATATAGGGGACAGTCTTTATCAGCATCAACAAATGGGTTTCTAATGCTCTAAACTTTTCCATGATGCCCGGAAGGCCGAGAAACAGGTTTTCAGAAATCTGGTGATATTCGTCATTGTTTCAAGACAGGGTCTTTAATATAGGCCAGGGTGGTTCCAAACTCAGGATTCTCCTGTTTCTGCCTCTCAAGTGATGGGATTGCAGGTGTGTATTACCACACTGTGGAGACTTCATAGGCTGATTTATATAAACCTTCTCTGACCGTCAAGCAGGTAGATCAGGAAATAAATAGTTTGGGAAGCTGCTGGAGAGTTGGCTCAGTAGATAAGAGTACTTTCTGCTCTTCCAGGTGATGAAAGTTCTGTTTCCAGCACCCGTGTCAAGTGGCTCACAACTGCCTGTCACTCCTGGTCAAGGGCATCTATCTGCACTCTTCTAGCCTCCAGCAGCATCTCTACATATGTGGCACATGAACACACACACACACACACACACACACACACACACACACACACACACACTGAAAGGCCCTAACCCTTCAGACTTACACACCCCAAGCCCCAGGAAATAAGGAACTAAAAAGAAAACTAGTTCCAAGGGCAAGCTGACTCAATCATTATTCAACCACCCCTGTAACAATGTAAAAAGATTTCTGTTAAGAGATGTGCTCAACTGTGACTGGGATAGTTGCAAGTGTTCCAGGAAGGACCACTGTGACCTTTGTGTAAACTCCACTCCCGCCCTGATACCCCCCTTGAGGTTTCAGGAAGAATGTACATGCAGACATGACTGTACCCACTCTGTGATCAGACCATGATCTTGTGAAACGAAATTCTATGGGAATTGTAATCTTATGGCTTTTGTGGGTTTTTCCTTTAAAAGCATTCATATGGCTTCTATAAGATGCACCTCTTGCTCTTTGGAGCAGAGTTGGCCCGACTTTACAGCCGCAACAATAAAAACCTCGTGCTGTTGCATCAACTGGACTGGAGTCTGGGTTCTTGGGGTGCCCACTTGAGACCCTAGATTTTTGGGGTCTAACAACACACACACACACACACACACACACACACACACACACACACACACACACACACACACACACACAAAAGCACACTCACATAAATAAAAATAAATATTTAAAAGTAAATCAATAAATTGATGGTTTAGCTAACATAGCTAACCCTCATCTTGTGGTTCTCTAGCTGCCAGCTGCTGTTTCTCTCCCAGAATCCACGGCTTCCTATGTATCTGCTCTGAGAATGGCCCAAGGAATCAACAGTGGGTCCTATAGGACATCTTCCCTGCCTGGGACTGCCAGACCCTCCCAAGCTCCTACGGAAAAACTTAGTTTTCCTCATACCTTTGTCACGTAGAAAAGAAGTAAAATAGAAGAATGAAAGTGAAGCTAGCTTCAGTGTCCCTGTCAGAACCAGTCTTGACAGGTACTAGAACAATTTGAGGTTCACAAAGACGTCTTTCATCAAGTAATTGACTTGTAACAATCCCCTGGGAATTTATTCCCAAGAGACATCCAGAGGCAAATAAAAAGTTCCATGTCTCCTGCCCTGTCCTGCTAAAAAGCAGTATTGAAGAGCTGAAAATCGAGTCAATATCATTATATAATCTTGTATCATTATATAATGAAGGATGATAGAAAAGCTGTTTTCTCAAATTTGCTGAATTTATAATACTGCTACACAATATTGCTCTTGCTAACCAGTCTGTTTATACACAAGCACATTAACTTACCTGATAACCCACCGAGGAGAAGTCTGCCTCTCTGCTATCACTCAACTCTTTCTCTCACTGCCCTTCCCCTGATGTCTGAAAGCCTTCCTTTTCAGCATGCTATCTAATCCAGGCCTTCCAGGAAACAAGAGGAACTTACCTTTTTGAGCCTCAGATTTGTGGCATTATTGCAATATTTGTACCAGACAGACTTGAGAATGGAGGCGAAAGGCGTGACTCCAATCCCTGCTCCCACTAGCATTACCACTTCATAGCTGAACACATCTTCACTGGCTGTGCCAAAGGGCCCATCGACTGCTATCCTGGATGGAAGGGAAGGGGATAGTTGTGGGTGTTTCTTCATCTGCACAGGAAGTAGAATGCATGTTGTTGTTGGAGATGTGCACTAGGTTGAGTCTGCCGAGGCAGTGTATGTATGAGGGGACCTCTATAAAATGGCTTTCATGTTAAGTCATCTAATGCCACCAACGGGGCTGAAAGTAAAAATATGAATGATTATCCAACTGAAAACCGTTGCTAGCTTACCATGAGCATTTTTCATTTTCTTGCTCTTTTTTCCCTCTCCACATAACACACACACACACGCACGCACACATGCACGCACACCTCTAGATTTATTTTTATTGTTTGTGTATGGATGTCTTGCCTGCATGTATGTCTGTGTACCAGGTGTATTCCTGGTGCTCATAGAGTCTAGAAAAGGATGGTGGGTCCCCTGGAACTGGAATTAGATAGTTGTGAGTGCTTAGAATCAAACCCAGGCCTTTTGGAAGAGCAGCCAGTGCTCTTGATGGCTGAGCCGTCTCTCCAGCTCACATTTGTCTTTTGTTATAGAAAAGTATATTTTAAAGTATATTTGATTTTTTGTATATTATTATTATTATTATTATTATTATTATTATTATTGTGTGTGCATATGCCAAAGCACACATGAGGTCAGAGGGCAACTTTCAGGAGTTTATCTTCTTCAACCTTGTGATCCTGGGGGACAGGGATTGAACTCAGGACATCTGGTCTGCACAGCAAGCTCTCTTACCCAACAAACCATATAGGAAGCCCCTTGGTTTTTAGTTTGTTTGGTTTGTTTTTTTTTTTTTTTTTTGAAACAATCTCATGTAGCCTAGGCTGGACTCAAAGTTGCTATGTTGTCAGGGAGAACCCTGAACTACTGATCCTCCTGCTTCTACTTCCCAAGTACTGGGATTATAGGCATGGGCACCATGCCTGGTCAGGCAATCCAAATTTGAAATTCCTAATTGCATTACACATTTAAGTAAGAATTTTTACATAGTAACATAGTGTTGAGTTGATAGCATTACTTTCCATTTGTTTATTCATTAAACAATTCAAAAACCCGTTCTTTAGCTTCTACTGAGTCCCCGGTACTGTGTTAGACAAGTGGAGCGAAGGAGGCAAAGCAAAAGATACTGTCAAACAAATGATGGCATTTAAAATTGAAGAATATCTCTGATGTGATTTTTGCTGGTCAGAAAAAGTTAATATAACTTGGCCTTGACCTTTACATATTTAAAGAAAGTTGAGGGTGTTACTAATATTTGATCTCAATGCTTTATAGTTTACCTAAGTTACCTAAGCATATGCATAAATACACCACATGCAACGGAAAACAGACACAACTATATTCTTTGAACCACTGTGCTTTGTCATTCAGATCACGTGGTGAGAGAGGGAATCACAACTACTTAGCACCATTTCTCCCAAACTCGTACACATTTGCAGTATGTGTTCTGTACTCACTTAGGTAGTTTCCAGGCATCTTGGAACTCTTGCTTATCACAGCCACAGGCATTGAATAGTCCTTCTGTCCAGTCTCCCACAATACGGATATGGATGCTAAAAAAGTCTTCCTCAGGAGCAGAGGTCAGGGTGAATGGGTGCCATTCCAGCTTGGATACCTTGGGGCACTTGACAAAAATGTACTGTCCTACCTCCATCTTGAATCCCTTCTTCTTCATTTGAAGCTCAATGGTTTTAAAAGGGTGAGTGACCACCTATAGAATAAAGCATAACCCTGGAAATTACATGTCACCCAAACATTTGCATTTTCAGGGTTTACATGGATAAAATACTTAGTTAAGATGCCCTGTCTGTGTTTCTTATTTAAGGACCAACACAGAAGCAGATTTATCTGCCATTAGGATTTGCCCTCAATTGTAGCCACTGGCTAATGATGAACTGAAGTACGGACACAAAGTCCGAGTCTTCTCTCTTCAGCCTGAGACAACTCCAACACTCCCTTGCAGGACCAGCTGACATTGCAGCTGCAACCGCAACGTGAGCCCAGTCAGCCCTTCTCTCTTCCTCATTCTGTCTTATTATTTTAATGTTTTTTATTGTTTGTTTTGAAACATGGTTCCTGCATGTAGACCAGGGTAGCCTGAAACTCGTGATGTAGCCCAAGCTGGCCTTGAGCTCATGCTCTCCTACCTCAACTTCCCGATTACTGGGATCATGGGAATGTGCTGCCACGTCTTGTTTTACTTTCATTGTGAGTACAGCCCCTGAGAACACACTCCTAATAAGGGTTTGGTATACAGTTCTCTGTTTCACAGTCTTTACAGGAAATCAGTCTGTTTTGATTTTTCTCTCTCTCTCAAAAGCTAAAGAAGGTACAAAAAATAGAAAAAAAAAGTTTCCTGTTCATTCTTTCTGTCTTCCCTGGTCACGAGAAAGGACATTGGCAGCTAGAATATAGAGATTTCACTGACTAGTTATATTGCAACAGCCCCCAAATGAAGCTAACCATGTTGTCTGTTCTTGTCCTGAATCACATCTTAATGTGCCCAATTCCATGGGCTGTTTCTACATTTCTCCTCACTTAGGGAGGATGCTATGCCAAGCCAGGCACCATATTTATTCTCCATATACACAACTGTCCACAGAAGGTCTGTTCGAATGATCCAAATTGAGGAAATACATAGATAATTCTAAAACAGAACAGAATAAGGGAAACAGAAAGTAGATACTCTTTCTTATCAGAAAGATACCTCCACTCCCAAGTTTATTTCAGCACTACAGCTATGCTCTAGACCCACCCTAACTGTGGGAATAATGACTGGATAAAGAAAATGTGGTGCATTTACATAGTAGATGGCTATTCAGCTTCAAAAGGTGACACATCTTGCCACATGCAACACAAACCTGAATGACATAAGGGAAATAAGCCAGACACAGATGCAGCATAATCTCACTCATATGATGAATCCGAAAGAGTTCAGCTCATAGAAATTGAATATAAAAGGGTAGTTACCAAAGGATAAGAAGAGTGGGGTGGAAGAAGACATAGGAGTTCTTAGGTACTGAATTGCAGTCAGGTAGGATGAGTAGGTTCTGCTGTTGTGGTGCTCATACGTTGCATATGTCAAGTCTTCTAGAAGACTTTGGATATTTTTTTATTTAAGAAATTTTTTATTCATTATACATAGCAACCACCGATCCCCTTCTCATCCCTCCTCCTGCTCCCCACCCTAGCTTTTCCCCATCCCCAGCCTACCCCCATCCCCTCCTCCAAAAGGGTAAGGCCTCCCATGGGGAGTCAGCAGAGCCTGGTACATTCAGTTGAGGCAGGTCCAAGCCCCTCCCCCTGCATCAAAGCTGAGCAAGGCATCCGGACTCTGGATATTTTTATAACAGTGAAATCATCTATGTTTGAGTTGAACGCTGTGCTACTACTTTATTTGATTACACAGGTATAACATAGGGGAACACTACATTGTAGCTTATAGATATGTTCAATTATGAGCTAACTGAAAATGAAATCAAAGCAAAAAAGAATCGGAAAGGTAATATACTGTTCTTTCGAAGATGCCTACGATACCTAGAAGAATTTCAGAGGTTCATGTTCAGACACACCAAAGGGCATCAGAGGAGGGAAAGTTCTGGAGAACAGAAACAACAACTTTTCAATGCTCAGTGGTGTTTCTCGGCTTTTCTGTCCATGAGTGAGTTGCGCAAGTGTGGGAACTAATACTAATAAAAGGTGCAGCTAAGTGGCAAAGTATATGCTTAGCATGTGTGATGCCTGGGTTCGACACCTAGCACCACCAAAACATTCTAAAACATTTTCAAAACTTGGTATTTAAATGTATCTCATACAGCAAGGTTGCAAACAACTTCCTCTGCACTGCAATAAGCAATTGGAAAGCATCATTTTGCATAGATAAAATTACGTTGAAAATTGTTTACCATGTTGTAATTTTGTGTGTTAAAAATAAGTTTTTCTTGTTGCAATTTTATTACTATGAGCACAAAGAGGATTTAACTAAATAAAATGTACTAGTAGACAGCACTCTCACTGGAATATTTTTGGATAACCTGTTTCTTGTATTTTTGTGAAAAGAAAGTGAACATTTATTTTCTTCACAAGATAACAAATTTACCCTAGAAGTATGTTTAGGAGAAATGTTTGTTTGGTTTGGTCATGTCTTATTTATGAAGGGAAAAACTATGGCAGGCCCCTTTGTCGATTGCTAGACTTTTAAAAATAATACGATATAAATAGCATAAAAGGAGAGCAGCTGCATGCCCCTACATTGCAGACCTCCCAGTGCCAGCATGACTAGTTCTGCTATGACTCTCCACAGGTATCAACTGGAAAAAGCTACTGGGAAGACAGAAGGAATTTTAGTGTCTTTCAAGAAAGAACCCATAATAGGCTTTTTGTAAATCCTTTTTGAAGTGAATTGATCAGAGTTCAATTTTATTTGACAAAACAGTCTTGTTGGGTGTTTACTGAAACTGCAACGAAGAACTTTTCTATCTGTCTGTCTGTCTATCTATCTATCTATCTATCTATCATCTGATAGTCTATCTATCTGTTAGTCTATCTAATTGTACATGTCTCTTATTTAGTAATGAAAAACAAAACATAGAAAAATAGAGAAAGAGCACTCCAGACTTGGAGGTTGGAGACCAAATGCAAGGTGAAGCTTATGTATTAATCCACTTGACACATTGGACACTGCAGCTCTAATATACTGTGATTACTTGTAAAGAATAGAAGAAGGAACTAGAAAGATCTTTCAACTTCCTTTGTTTGCTTCTTGTTTTTTAGTACCTAAAATTGTTTGTCTCATAACACATACTGTGTGTGTGTGTGGGGGGGGTAATCACAGAAAGTGATACCTTATATTGGCCCCACTTAAAGGCCAATTCACTTCATCACTAAGTTAAATTCAATAAAATAAACTGTAAGCTTTCTATTTTCAGTTTAATAAAAGAAACATGGCTGAGGCCTTTTTGACCAACAATATAGAGAATGTGAGGAGACTTGCCCATGTGATACTTAGCTACTAAGAATTCCCACATCATCAAATACCTTGGTGATGACCACCTTCTGTTGAGATCGCCAAAACCGGACCAGCCTCTCACAGAGATACAGGAACATGGGTCCCACTATCCATTTCCAAGTCTGTAATCACATCAAATACAAACTTGAGATGTGCCAAGGGAGTGGTAACAGCTAGTGAAACATTCAGAAGATGAAAACATTTTACAAGCCAGGCTAACCTTCGTAAGCTTGTTTAAGTATTTACTACTGATAAGCAATTTTTCATAAAACCGAATTATGGAAATATCAAAAGTTAAGATAAACTGTCAAGCCAGTAAAATAGCCACATTGGGGTTATATGTTATTCGATCTGTATCTGTAGTGTGAGACTCAAAAGAGGAACTTCCTACAAGGGTGAGGTTTCCTTTCAGCATCACAGCTGAAGCTGAACTAGCTTACAACAGAGCACAGATGGTATCAGAACAAACCTGTCTCGTTTCAGGAACATGAGATTTTTAATGCAACCTTGCATGGTTTTCTCCCAGAGATTGAGTCTGAAATTAACCTTTTGCAAGATGACACATTTTGTGCAAGACTTCAGCTGTCTTCTTCAATATTCCTGTAAACTCTAGGAGCTATACAATGTTCTCGATGAAGGGACACACATGAAGATTCTAAGGCTTCTATCTAAGTCTCTGGTCTTTATAGATTTTGAGGCTCTATATAAACATTTAGACCCAACAGGCCTACCAGTTGGATTCCTAATCTAATATTTGAAGTACCAAAAAGTTTAAAATATCTAAAATTTGATTTTCTATAATGGAATCTGAAGTAGAAAATAAGAGCATATTTTGCATATGTCCTGGTTGGTTTTGTTTTTTGTTTTTTGTTTTTTCTTGTCAACCTGACAAAAGCTAGAGTTATCTTGGAAGAGGAATCTCAATTGAGAAAATGCTTCCATCCAGATTTCCCATAGGCAGGTCTGCTGGACATTTTCTTGATTGATGATTGATGTGGAAGGGCCTAGCTCACTGTGGGCAGTGCAAAACTTGGGCTGGTGGTACTGGTTTCTATAAGAAAGAAGACTGAGCAAGCCATGTGGAACAATCCAGTAAACTGCATCCCTTCATGGCCTCTGCATTAGTTCCTGCGTCCAGGTTCCTGCCTTGGGTTCTTGCTCTAACTTCTTTCAGTGATGGAGTGTGACCTGAGAGTTATAAGCTTGCTCTTTGTCATGGTGTTTGATCTCAGTATTAGAAACAATAGCTAGGACATTATAGTTTCAAGAGTCTACTAAACTATATTTTTGACATTATATTGTTGGAAATTGAAAGTACTCGGGTTCTCCACATCACTAGCCCAAACTGAAGAATATCTGTGACAGAGGTGAGGAGTATTATTTTGCTCTACTTCATCTTTATAAGATAGATGCTTTGAAAGTCTCTCTTCTATTTCCTGTGCAATACCGTAGAGTGACATTGAATGGCATCAGATTTGGACATTTCCTTTGATATCCTCAGAAACCTAGAAGTAGTTTTGTGGCTGTTGCCTATAAAGGTAGTAGAACTCACTGCAGCTGTCATCAAGGAACTCTGCCCATAAAAGAACTAATAATAAGGTTTGTTTTGTACCCTTTCTATCAATGGCTGAATATCGTAGGAGCAAGTCACTGCTGAATCAGCTTGATGTCATTTATGAACAAGGATACTCAAAGGCATTAAGCCATTGTAGAGTAATGGGCATAGCAAAAGAATATTCCCATGCCAAAACAGTGGGAGAAAACGAGATAGGAGATTTGTCTTTATGTTATACAATGCTTAAGAAAATAGTTATAATACTCAGAAGCCCCAGACAAATTTTGAGTTTTGTTCACTTTACACCAGTGGCTAGCACAGCAAACAGCAAAGTATAGTGTCTGCCAAAGGAAGGAAAGACCACATGAAGATTATAGAGCTTGCTTTACGAGGCAGAGATATAGAGGCTGCACAGAACGGAGCTCCGAAGAATTCTCTATGGGAAAAAGCAAATGTTTCACCTTGCTTGCCCCTGTTTGCCCTTGTCTCACCCTTACTCTATCACAAGGTGACTACCCTTGGGGTTGGTATGATTCTGGCTATGCAACCTTTGTCACCTGATAGATGAGATCTCCTGATCCTAAAGGTAGCACAATGTGCTACTTCATTTATTTTCTTAACAGTTCGGAAAGCCATATGGAATGCCATATAGGCTTCCTGGTAACCAAAGAGACCCACAGCTCCTTATAGGTGATTTATTTGAGCCATACAACTTAGAGCAGGATAGAATTCCTAAGTGCACCTCTGAAAACCATTAACTGCTATTATTGCGATCTTCATACCCAGAAGAGGAGGAGGAGGAGGTGGTGGTAGTGGTGGCTCTTAACTCCAAAGAGCAATTTAAAAGCATTTCTTTTCAACTTCATTCTAGGACATCGACAACAGATCAAGGCAAAGTTTGTTTTTCAAGAAAAAGTTCTAGCCAATTCACAACATTTGTACTGGTTTCTTAAGCCTACCAGTAACAGCACTGTAAAAGAAGCAATACAAATACATACCATGGGAGGGTTTCCAGAGAACTTTGGTACTGGGCAGTCTGGTCTTGTTCCCCATTGTGAGATTTGTTTCTCACAGACATTTATTTTATGCTCTTCCAAACTCTCGTTAGTCTGTCCACGTACAATTCGTCTGGTGAATACAAAAATGTAAGTCCACATCACTTTATAACAAGACAGCAACCTGCTTGAATGTTTTAGACTCTTGGAACCCAGGGCCTCATATATGCTAGGCAAGCACTCTAACAATGAGCTATATATATACATACTCTTAACTCTGATTGTGGACATATTGCAAGTATTTTGATTGGGGGACCTGAACTTCTTAATGTCACCCTTTCTGAATAAGTCAGGCAAGGAAATGAAAATGTGTGATCTTGAACAATAGAAAACAACTCTGTGTGGTGGTACAAAGAGCATCAACGTGTAACATTATGGATTGTGAGTCTTGGATTACCAATATGTGCTTTTTTTTTTTTAGGAGAATGTGCTTCTTTTCAAGTATCATTTTTGTGTATAGACAAACAGAACCCAGAAAAACGATAGTTCTAACAGGCTGATTGTTAACCCATGGGGTGCCTTTGTGCAGATTTGAAAACAGTCATCTGTGAAGACACTCCTACAAGCCAACGTGTGGCCAGCAGAAAGCAGACTACCTTTCATCTTTTAGACAGGCTTTTTTATATTCTGGACAACCCACACAACCATACACAATGGCCTTGAGGCTAGTAGAAGTGCTGCTTTATTTGTAGATTGCTAACTTGTCTAGACCAGGCATGGTACACATCTGTAATCCCTGAATTCTACATGTTAAGGCAGGAAGAGTGTGACTTTGAGGATTCCAGTCCAGCCTAGTCTATGTAGTGAGACTGCATCTGGAAAATGTTTAAAAATGATATCTTTCTGAGAGGATTTAACCATCCTCACAGATACAAGCACCAGTACTGTGTTCCCAAGGTGCTTAAAGCCTATTCAGTTCAACCCAATAATTATTAAGTAAACAAATATTAGAATATTAGGCAATTTGGGGTTAGTGGTGATGGAAAGAGGGAGGCACAGAATGGAGTAAGTTATTTCAAAGAATGCAAATGCCATGGTCTTCAGAATATATTCATAGAAGAGTCATGGAAGTTCATTTGTAAACTTCATTTGGGATGCCTAAAATTTAGCATATTTCTGAGAATAGTTTAATTCAAGGCCATTAACCATCCTCTACCCTTTTGCGAAACAGGGTCTCATTAGGTGGCTCTGGCTGGCCTGGAACTTACTGTGTAGACTAACCCCTTCCTATTCCTAGGTCTTGGTGAAGAGACTTTCCTGTGTGAGCACTTATTATGGGTAGGCTTGAGGAAAAGTACTATTCACCAATTGTCTCAGTTAATTTGTGGAATAAGCTTGAGAAGCAAGTATTATTTTTGTAGTTTTTACATGGGGGTACTAAAGCAGAATGATTTATTGAAAATAATTCTGTTTTTGACCCAGATAGCCTTGACCTCAAATCTCAATTCTACCCATTCACACTTTGGTAAAATTAACTTCTGTTGAGTATCAGTCACTCCATCTGTAGAACAGGTGCATTTCCTCATTAAATATTGAACTCAGTGATCAATGGACATGGCATATGAAAAACATCAAGTACAAAGCAGGAGTCCGGGGAATAGTAATTACAAAAGGTCTTGATTCCCTACTTCACATGGGGAATAAATAATAGAAAAAAATATGATTTTTCTCCTCATGCTCTAAGTAATAGGACCCAAAGTCTGCAAATCGGAATTTTAATTCCAGTTCAGCTGTTACCTAGGCACGAGATCCTGAGCAACCCCTTAAGCAGTGTGACTTAGATAGAGAATAAGGCAAATAAATCCCTGTCTGATCCAAAGGCAGACAGCTATTGGCGCCACTATACAAGCAGGAAGTGGCGGGATTAGTAAAGGAGGGAGGGGAAGAAACGCTTCGCTTTTGTAGGATTCTCTGAGATAGCTGAAATGTGTGCAAGTTTCACTTAAAGACACTCTGTGGCTTTAGGAGACTCAGGAGACTGACTGCTCATCCCCACAGATTTCTCAGTGCTTAGAAAGAGTTTATCAGGGGTTGAAATCGGGAAGGAGGTTAAGAATGCGCACAGAAGTTGGCCACAGTTGCTTCTTCTCATCCTTCCTCTTTTTACTCTCAAGACTTGGTCATCCCTAGGTTACTTGGCTTGAGTTTTGCATATTTACTTTCCCCACCCTTACATTCCTGGAACTCTATACACACCATGGAACTTCCCTGGGCTTGGCTTTTATGTGCAGGTGGTGTGAAAGAGTAGAAAAATGAAACTTGATAGTAAAGCAGATGTTTTTCCAAGCATATAATCAAGCACTGTGTGTCTTTATGGGAGTGTTCACCACAGCCCACTCTAGACCACCTGTTCTCTAGGCTACACGCTAGCTGGGAGTGGCCTGGCCCACATATTTTACCATTTTTACTTTGGGGTTCTACATCTATACATTAGAGGAGTTAAAAAAAAAAACATTGAATGTCAAGTTCTTAGCACCTGATACAGAGCTAGGTAGAAGTAATTACTTTTATCATATCCAAAAGTTTGAAGGCAATGCCCATGTATTTTTCTAGCTAGCATTCCTCCACAGTTCCTGAGATAGATCCTCATACCCAGTAGGCAATCAGTAATGATTATTTGCTTAAATCAAAATCAGCTGGACGACAGAAAATCTCTTCAACTGATTAATCACTAGCTCTTTTACTTTGGGATTTTGCCTAACCTACTTGCGATTTACCCAGAGAAACAATGTGGTGGGCATCCAAGAGCCTACCAATGCTTTCAATAAGGTATGACCAACAGAGGGTAGACTAGCTTCCTCCTCTTTAGGCAGCAATTTGTAGCGGACAATCTACACAATCATACACAATGGCCTTGAAACTAACCATAGCCAGTATATTTTACACACTGGGTATATGTTTCAAGCTTATTTGAAGTAACTGCATCAGGAATTAGATAGGTAAAACACAAAAGCAAAAATGTTGCCGTTTCTTTTGACTGACCTCTGCTGCCCTATTCCATTCCCTCAGCAGAAAAGCTGACCACACAAAAGCAAGGAAGTAACTGTGTCTCTCTCTCACTGGGCAATATATCTAGAAAGTGAAACCCCAAGTCTTTGGCAGTGGAGTTAGAAAACTCACTCAGCTCCATGGATGGCAAGGCCGATGAAGAAGATCACAAAGAGATGGTGTGTATACCAGAACACTTCAAAGTAAGACCTCCGGATGGTTTTGGTAGAGGATGTGATAATTAATATGAGACACAGTGTGATGACAATTCCTGTGATGCCAGCCAACCGAGTCACAGCCACATACAGGCCCCCTTCAGGGTTCTGGAAAAACAGAAACATATAGGTTCGTAACTGAAGGAGTGTCCATTTTCAAGCTATTTAGAAAAAGGCATTTCTTGTTCCTTGGCTAGTCTCATCATATCTCTCAGAGAGATATTGTGTTGAGGTTTCCAAATTTAAACAGTCTTACATTGTTGAGGAGTCATAGTTACATTCAGATGATTCTAATGGAGTTCAACTATAAAGGACTGACCTAGTAAAAGATGTCCTCAAAGCGTCCTAGGTTCTCTATCTCTTTGATTTGGAAATGTCACAGTGCTTAGTTGGTCAACGAAGTCTGAGAATACCTGCTATCTGAGGCTGGGCTCACCATGAGTGTACCCTGAGATGAGAGTTCATGGGCAAGGAACTTAGAAACCAGGTGTTCCAAGAGAAGCTTCTCAGCAAAGAAGGAATGAGTCAGAGAAAAAGAGAAAGTCAGACAAGGAGAAAGAAAGACAACATCTCACGGGGCTGGCTTCAACTTGGCCTTATAGATGTTCTCTCATTTTGTCCACTTTTCAGGAAATGAAAAATAAAAAAATGGTAAAAGGTCTAGGCCAGATCTCTTATCAGTTGGAAAGAGCAGACTGTGGTACACAGAGATGCACAGGGTCAGGCTTAGACCTTTTACCATTTTTTTATTTTTCATTTTGTTTGTTTTGTCTCCAGTATCACCGAATTCTATTGAATAAGGATGAGACAATTTCATATGCTCAGACACAGACAAAGCAGTCTGAGAGTGAGCTATACCTCAGCATTTGTACTGACTAAAGGGGAAGAAGCTGCACTTCACGGCCTGCATTCATCAGTTATTTGTCAAAGGCTTCTCAGGGAGAAGTATCTGCAGATCCCTTCAGATCTCATCCTTAGGCAGAGAATACTGGCGGCCTCAAGGCAGTCCTTAGAAGAGGAGACAGGCTTAAGTGACTGAAAAGGAAGATACTCTGGAGTAAGCACAGATCCAAAACAAAGTAACCCAGTTCAACTAATGCGTCCAAATTGTCATCCTTGTACATCATTGGGCAAACAATGAACAATGGAAAGAAAAATTATCCATGGTATCACAGAAAAAGAATTTATGGACCATTCCAATTTTTCTTATGTCAGTTTGATGTGGGAAAATTAAAGGGTTTTTTTTTTGTTTTGTAGCAGTTTTTCTAAACTTAGAAAATGTGTTTGAAATTCAATGGGGAATTTAACTATCTTCCTAGGCCATGAGGTTCATAAAAATGACCTGAGCTCCTTTCTGTGTGGAAGAAGGTTCAGGAACTCATAGAATAAGAGCTTATGAATAACCATGAGGTATTTTTTGCTCACAAAAATAATTAAATAAATAAATCTTTAAAAATAAAAAACAAATCTGTTCTGAAACCATGCTTGCATCTAGACAAAACATGGGTTCTTTGCCTATTACAGATAAAACATGGGTTCTTTGCCTATTACAGATAGCCCTGTTCTTTCTTCCTCCCAGAAAAATAAGTAAGATAGTAATCCCAGAACTACCCCAAATTCCTGATCATATACAATTTAAACAAATACTAGCTTTCTTAAATCCTCTCTCAAATCATCTAATGCAAGCCTAAGTTGCCTAGCAAGTCCCTCATAACATTATCTGCAGGTATTCACTCAGACTTCTTTAAGGTATGAGATCTCTTTCATTGTAAGCCCAACTTTGATTGGACATAAATCTCTTGCTTTATTTTATTGGTGTGCACAGTCATGGGTGAGTATGAGTTACTACAGGATCTGCATACAAAATTTCTCCAAGAGAGCCCAAGGGTTCAGGAAATACCTAAGCAGTCTGTGCACATGAGACCAAGAAGGTAGGAGACATTTTCTTTACACTTACATTCTAAGCCATTAGCAAACTTTCATTGTTGACTTTAAGGGACAAATTATAGCTTTTCATTGTTCTGTGCTTTCATAGCCCAGCAAACATCTGGATCAGAGAAGGGGAGGCTTACCTTGATTTTTTCTCTAGCAAAATTGAGATACTCTTCATGGTCCTTGTCACCAATTTCAGAGAGTGCAACTGAATATGGGTCAGAATTGTTGACTCTGGCATTCACACACCACTCCACATTGAACAGATGTGCAATGGTGTGGATCGCTGAAGAGGGCAGAGAAGAGAAACAAAGAGGAGAAGTATGAACATTATTAGAATCTAGGTTCCTGGCCACATCCTCTGACTCTCAAGCGAAACAACGGGATGTGGTCTAGGATGCTGTAAACTAGAACTGGGTCCCAATAACGAGTGAAGCAAGACACTTCTAATAGGCCAGCTTCTTTCTGCCTGTGTGACTATGGAAAAAATCATACAGCCTCTCTGGTATTGGTTCCATCATTTGTAAAATGAAGGTGTTGAACTAACAGTTCTGAAGATCCAACCAATTTCTAAAGATTATACATTTGATGTATCCACATCTACTCTTTTTCTCTAATGGATTTGTGCTCAAGTGAGAAAAGAACTCATGTGATGGCTGCTAAATCACCTCCAGAGAACAGAGACAAACGTAATCAAATTAATACAAGCTGATGGTCAACAGCATGAATCTCTTAAGTTAAAAAGAAACTGCATTGATGATTTCATTATCACTTGCCTAGAGCTTCCTAGGGGCCTGACACTGTTATAAGTGCTTTACAATTACTCAGTCCTCATATTAAACCAATGATCTAAGTACATTTCATATCAGCTCATTAGGGCATAGACTGCTTTAAGACCTTGCCCAAGGTCACCGAGCCGAGAAGCAGCTGACTTAGGAATTACATCCAAGCTGTGTGGCCCCTGTATCTGCATTCTTCCTGGTAGAGTATGCTACTTTCTAACAGGATAGCATCAGTCATTCCTTTTGAAGCATTTTTTATTTAAAAGTTTTTTTTTAATTTTACATACCAACCATTTCATTTACCACAACTCAAAGTCCTACACAATCTGGTGGAGGAGGAACCCAGTTAAACACCTCTAAACTGAGCTCATTTTCATCAGGTAAGAGACAGCCTCCTCATAGGCAGACTAAAAGCCTTTTTTGTTCATTAATGTTTGTGTCTACTTTCTGGCAAAATAAATTATTTAAGTGAATCCATGGAGAGTGCCGAAGTTGTAGGCACATTCTTTTTTGCAACAACACCTACAACCCAACAGTGATAACAGAACACATTATATGTAAAACACATTGTCTACATATATATGATGAGATAAGAATAATCACTAAAGTATCTTAAGGGGTTTCTTAGAGATTTTCAATTTATAGCTCATATTTCTGTAGGTTTACTGCAAAAATCCTCAAAGTCCACATTTGTAGCAAAGTGATTCAGTAGAAGGAATAAAAATTTTTGTGTTTTCACTAACAAACATTTTTATACTAATATAATAGGAAATGGTGAGGATATGAGGGCAGATTCTATGGCATGTTTTTATTTTATTTATATAGGAAGACCTTATGGTTTTAAAAAAAACCCACCATAGGTGTGAATCCCAAAATCAGGAAATTGAATTTGAATGCTTTTGAACTGAACTCATCTGACCACAACATAATGGAGTTGTAGAGTCTGAGACACACATGGATCCAAGAATAGAGGGGGCCTCTGTTACAACTTGTTTGCATTTCGAATGTCTTTTAAAACTTACCAGTGTGAAGTGCTATCATCCATGCTACCATTTTATGGAAAGTGAGGTTCCGATCCAGTTGTCTTCGAATTCTTGTTGAGCAACACTTTGGATGAAAAGAGAATGGTAGAAATAGTTAATATGAAAGCTTTCTATGTCCCAGACACTCTCCATGCATCATCTCATGTAATTCTCATCACCACTCTACAAGGATATATTTCCATCCATTTGGGTGATTAGAAAACTGATAGAGGTAGTCATTTCTCCCAGTTCAAACAGCAAGCTTAAGTAATATGTTTCCTGTTCTCATACTGATGACATGAAGCCCTCTCTCAAATACCTTTTTCATTGTATAAAGTTTTGAATTTTGACAAATATATTTCTAGTCATGATTAATTTATTTAATAAACAAGGGATCTAGAAATTCATAAAGAGTTGGCCTATAGTTACATTCCTAGGAGTCCGGTGGGGACAAAGATGAGTGAACAATTCTAGAACAAGTGAATAGGTCTTCAACCCAATTGCTCATATACACTATAGAAGGAGGGAAGTGGGTTAGTCAGAGACATTACAAGGAAGATCATTGTCATATAATAATAATAATAGTAATAATAATAATAGTACTTAATAATAATTATAGTAACAGTACTGAAAGCTCGTGGAAGAGCTTCTTTAAGCCTTTTACATATATTGGCTCACTTCATTTTCACTCTTATGTCAGTTTTATTAAGGAGGGACCATTACCTACAGCCGAGGAAACAAAGATGATGTTCCTGCCTTATGTGATATGCCAGTAAGTGACAGAGATGGGAGTTCAACCCAGACCATCTGAGAACTGTATCAACAGTGCAGTAATTTATATGATACCTTAACATTCAGACTAGAAGTGGGTCCAGTGTATTTGACTCACCTCCATATGTTAGAGTCCATGGATTTGAATCTGGAGTCAAGTCAGTGCTCAAAGCAGAGAAAGCAAACCCTAGCTGATGGTTAAAATAGAGTTTTATCCTCACAAAATCTGCCCATTTGCTTGGTCTACCTGCTTTGCCCCACAATTTAAATGTACTGTCACAAAAAGTCCAAGTTCTTTAAAGAGGACGGTGAACTTCTAAAACAATCCTAGGTATTGTCAATACATGGTCTAAATATTCAATTTAAATAAGGAGGTGACTTCTTTTTTAATAAATATTCTGACTTTGTAGAAAGAGATGATTATACAGAAATTGGACCTACTCTACTGTTTCTCAGTTCGCCACACCTAAAAAGAGGGAAGGCTACACAAAAGATGACGTTTGGAACTGCAAAACACTAGTAAGGAAGATGGTAAGGACTCCAACTAGAGCAGAACAGCGTTATCAAGTGTCCTGTGGGACCCGGGTAATTTACTGTCACTTGATGCAATAATGCACGTATTCTTGTCTCCATTATAGACAAAAATTAAAAGTTCACTTTGGCTGGGATCTCAGTCTATTATCTGTTTATCAAATCAGATGCAAGGACACCATCATTATTATTCTAAGTGCCTCCAAAATCTAACTTAAGAATTTAAGTTTTGGTATCTTTAGTGGAAAGTGGTCATAGAAAGTGAGGGTAGACTCTTGGGCATATACCCAAAGGATGCTCAAACATACCACAAGGACACTTGCTCAACTATGTTCATAGCAGCATTATTTATAATAGCCGGAACATGGAAACAACCTAGATGCCCCTCAGCCGAAGAATGGATGAAGAAAATGTGGTGTATCTACACAATGGAGTACTACTCAGCCATAAAAAACAATAGCACCATGAAATTCGCAGGCAAATGAATGGAAGTAGAAAATACCATCCTGAGTGAGGTAACCCAGACTCAGAAAGACAAACATAGCATGTATTCACTCATAAGTGGATACTAAATATAAAGCAAAGGATAATCAGACTGCAACCCACAACTCCAGAGAAGCTAGGAAACAAGGAGGACCCTAAGAGGATTGCCTTGGGAAGGGAGATCCCACTGAGTAAACTGGGCATGGTGGGGGCAAAAGAGGGTAGGGGATGGTGAATGAGAACATGAGGGAACAAGATGGTTGAGTTGGAACAGGAACAGAGTGGGAGAGCAAGGAAAGAGATATCTTGATAGAGAGAGACATTACGGGGTAAAGGAGAAACCTGGTGCTAGGGAAGTTCCCAGGAATCCACAAGGATGACCCCAGACTACTAGCAATAGTGGAGAGGGTGCCTGAACTGGCCTACTCCTGTAATCAGATTGGTGAATACTCTAACTGTCATCATAGAGCCTTTATCCAGTAACTGATGGAAGCAGATGCAGAGATCCACAGCCATGCACCAGGCCAAGCTCCGGGAGTCCAGTCAAAGAAACAAAAGAGGGATTCTATGAGCAAGGACATCAAGATCATGATGGAGAAATCTATAGAGACAACTGAACCAAGCTCAAAGGAACTCACGAACTTTAGACCAACAGCTGTGAAACCTGCATGGGACCGGACTAGACCCTCTGCTTAATCGAGACAGTTGTGTAGACAGGTGTGTTTGAGGGGCCCCTGGCAGTGGGATTGGGATCTATCCCTGGTGCATGAGCTAGCTTTCTAGATCTCATTACCTATGGTCAGACACCTTGCTCACCCTTGATGCAGCGGGAAGGGGCTTGGTCCTGCCTCAACTGAATGTACCAGGCTTAGCTGTCCCCCATGGGAGAACTTACCTTGTTGGAGGAGGGGATGAGGGGTGAGTCGTGGGGAGCTGGAGGAGGGATGAGAGGGGGATCTGTGGTTGGTATGTAAAATTAATTAAAAAATTAATAGAAAAATGAAAATAAGGGTAGAAGAATGAAGACTAGAATGGAAAGAAACCAATAAAGGGCATACATATTATCATTCAGCTACCACAGTGCTTTAACGGTGGCCTCATTCAGACCAGGGAACTCCTTTATAGTTTTCAGGAAACAGCCTCCTGTTTCTTTTTTATGTCCAGCTGGGTTTTGCCCAAATAAGGCTGCCAGATCCCCTGGAACTGGAGTTACAGACAGTTGCGAACTGCCATGTGGGTGCTGGGAATTGAACCTAGGTTCCTTGGAAGAAGGGCCAGTGCTCTTAACCGCTGAACCTTCGCTCTAGCCCAACCTCCTGTTTCTTAACTGCCACATTCCTTCAGTTTTTAAGAGTACTTCTAGTAGGCAGAATTCTGGAATGATTTGTAATCATCTTGAACAATCTTCTCCCTTGACTTTGGATGGAACCTGTGACTAGGATGTGTGATTTTGTTAGACGATATGATAAAATGGACTCTGCAGATGTAAAGTTCAAAATTGACCTAAAGAGGGAGATTTTTTTCCAGGTATCTGACACTATTACATAAACTTGAAATCTAGGTCTAGATGTCCCAGTGGAGGAAGTCAGGGATTTGAAATACCAGAAGGATGTAAGGTACTATTGCTGCCTGGAGGATGGAGACAGGTACATGGCAGGGAGGTGGTGGGACCTGTGGGGTCCAAAAGTGGCCATGGGATAACTGCTAGCAGGGAAACAGGGACCACAGACCAGCAACTGTAATGGATGGAAGTTTGCTAAGAAGGAGCTCGGAAAGGAGTTTTTGGTTTGTTGTATTTTATTTTGTTGTACAGAGCTGAGGATGGAACCAAGGGCCTTATGCATGCTGGAAACATACTCTATCTCTGAGTCCAGAATTTCAGAAGAATATTCTAATCCATTTTCAAGGTCCACTCATTTCCTCTCAGTCCAGCAAACATTTTTTGAATCTCAATTTCATAGAATGCTGAGTAGAAAAGTCAATCACAGGGTGCTGGACCTCTGCTTGCCACAACTTGCAGCTTGTAAATGAGGGTTGTTAAAAACCATTGCATTTGTGGTGATTCATTGCACAGGAGTAGATAACTAATAGCATCCTTCCTGGAGTGGTAAGCTGGATTGGACTCTTGGGCAGTGGTGGCATGGGCTTTAATCTGAGCACTCAGGAGGCAGAGGCAGGCAGACCTCTGTGAGTTCGAGGCCAACCTAGTTTGAAAAGTGAGTTCCAGGACAGCCAGGGCTGTTACACAGAGAAACCCTCTCAAAAAACCAAAACCAAATAAAGAATCACAGGATGGGAATTAGCATAGTTGAAAGCAGTAATGAATTACATTTGAAAGTAAGTTTTGCCTCCACTTGTGTCTATGGTGAGTCACAGACCTACCACTTAGCTGTAGGACAATTTTCTTACCTAGATAATCATCGAAGTTCTTCTCTAGGAGGCATGTATTCATTGAGAAATGTTTCATTAGAATTTGATGTTATTTTGCATCATTGTGTAATGAACTTCTCATCTAATGTACCCCGTCTCTCCAGCTACAGGGCAAGTATCCTGTACAAAGATGACCATGCTATGTACTTTTCAATTTTTTCTTTAATAATTACTTGGTCACCCAAATGGAGCACATGTTTTACTGCCTTGAAAATAAGATCATTAAGCCTATCTACATTTGCCACTGCTTAATTTCTATTGTCTTGAAGGGGGATTGAAAGAAAAATTCACTAGCTCCTCCCACATCATAACAAATCTGAAGAGAAATAATATGGCTTTGTTGAGCTTCCTATGTCATCTCCATAGTTCTGTCTTTATCGCTCTCATTAGCACCAATAAAATTTGAGAAATAATAGATGTTGATGTCCCTAACCAACCTTTGACACAAACACTTAGAAAGGATAAATGCAGTGTCAGAACAATGGAGAGCTATGATTTGGTAATAGAGTGTCTATTCAAAGATAAGCATTCTATCCTAACATCTAGTTAACGCAAAGAAGAGTTTATTCAAACAGAGTAACGGGTGAGTCAATGGAACAGGTCCCATCAGGGCAGCGGCAATCCTTCATTTTTCCTAACCGCAGTCTTCAGTGTGCTCAGGAATGACAAGCCACCCTAAAGAAAGCCACAAGTCATGCTGATGCTGAGCTTTCAAGAGAATGATCTCCTCACCACTTCCTGAAAACGAGGCACAATGATAAGCTGGTGAAGTTGGAAGAAGAGCTTTACTGTCTTTGATTGCCTGGGTCCTTTCTCTTCCTCCTCACCCTACAGATACCATTTCTGTGCTTTGAATTGTTACCAGCTGTC